ATTTCTATTTCAGCATCCTACATGTCCGCCATGGTCCTGCTGATTCCCACCCAAGCACAGGAACCGGAACCGCAGTGCACGCGCTAATCCGCAGCACCGCGGTACAAGAAGCGCTACTAAAGCGTTAACAAGGCGCTACTGAAGCGCTAGCAAGGCGCTACTGGAGCGCTAACAAAGCGCTACTGGAGCGCTAACAAAGCGCTACAGAAGCGCTAATCGCGCGCTGTGTTAGAACTAAGTCACGCGCCAGAAAGCGCCACATGAGCGCTCCTTGGAGCGCTCACGTAGCGCTAACTTAGCGCTCCGCTGTATGTGTGAAGAGGCCTTTATAGTGTTTCCTTAAAGGGATACTACAACAAACTTTCGGCATTTCTTTTTTTTTTTGTTTTGAGGTTTATACGTGTTCAAAGGAGCAGTATGACATAGGACACACCAATATCTCGTTAAAAAAAGACACGAAAAGGAATTTTAAAACAAAATAAACGATCTGCAAAGAATACCTGGTGGATGTCGCTAAAGTCCTTGGTCCTGTCTCGCTTCCTCGTGTTCTCGTTTTTTAGGCGCTTCACAAGTTAAACATGTACCAACTAGCCCACCTATCTATTTTACTGTGCTAAAGCCTCGTTTGTAATGCCGTCTCCGGGAAAGGTACTCAAGTAGTGCGCATGAAAAACACAAAAAAATGTGCTACTCCGCACGTTTCGTGGCCGAGTGGTACAAGGAGCTGCCCTGGCGATAGCGACGTCTCGGTGGCGGTGGTTCGAATCCACTTCAAGCGCAAAGGTTTTTTTCCTTTTTTTTCGACGTATTTTTTGTGCGAAATTGTGCGCATTGCGGAAGTGTATATTTCAATTCCTATTCTCTTATTGTTTTTATTTATAAGGCGGTAGACTAGGGGCTGGTGTTCCGTTTGAACCCCGCACCGGCCTCGTCAAAACGGAAGAACGGTCGAGATCCAGGGCGTCTCAATTTAAAGCCGTTTATTTACATGGTAGCGTGAAAATCAGAGAGTACCTTGAGAGTGCGGTGGACGGTCCTTTATACAACGAATACTGGAATTAGGGGACCGCACTGCCATTGGTCAGACGGCTTGGCATTCCCTCGCGTGATGGGACTTCATGGAAGTTTCCTTCAGAGTCCAAATACTCGCCGGTGTATGGAAGTCATCCAGACGGCAGTATCTCGTTGCTCTGGTGCCGGCGTTCCCATGAACCGGGAGTAATTCACAATAGACGCGTACACAACACACGGCACTCGAGAGCAGGATCGAGTGTTGTTTCCTTTTCCGAGGAAAGCAGGGGCCTCGGAATACAGGCACGGGCATGTGCGTCGTCCACTTAACCGACCAAGGTTAAGGTGCCTCAGGCAGACGGAGCAGACCGAGGTTACGGTCCCGCAGGCAAACAAACCCAGACGCTTCGGAATGCAACCACGGGCATCGTCCGCTTAGCCGATCAAGACGAAGCCGTAGGCACGATTCATCACCGACACGGTTCCTTCTTGAGGCTTGATTCACTTTGAAGCCACAAGGCCGATTTTAACACCAGAAGTAACAGAAGGCAGTTCACAACACGGTCCGCGTGCTCGAAACTTTCACGTTGCGAGGTCCTCGCTTCGGGGACGCCACCTTGCCAGACACTCCGGTGTCGTTAATGACCGTCTCCAGGACTTCACGGACCGACGTCTCCGGGAAACGCGTTCTTGGACTCGCGTACACGTTGGCGATCACCTGCTTGCACTTTTTCGAGATCTTCACACAACGAATCTCCGAAAATATCCGAGCAGGAGAGGAAAGCTTCCCTGCGTAAGAGGCCATCTTCTCAAAACCGGCAAGGCAGGGGAAGCCGCATAACCCGAAAACCCGAAGCGACTGCCGCACGGACGAAAACGGAGAACAATTTGAACTTTGGAGTAGTTTACATTATCTTTTCCTTTTTATTGAAAAAAAATCGGTGTTTTGTCGATATCATAACGCCACTATCAGTTACTAGCTCCAAAAATGCACATTTTACGATTTTTTTTTTCTTGCATGGGTAGCACTATTTTATGGGGCGAACGTAGGCGGTCGGCAGTGCAAACCGGTGCGCTAGCTTTGACTGCGTTGCACGCTATCTATGAAACGGAGTATAGGAAACTTCACAGGTAGTGGCGATAACTGTCTCGCCAAGAACTATAGGCTCCTTGCACTGACGTCACATCGCATACTTTTGAACACCATGTAAGAGGAGGAGAGGGAAGCTGTTTCTGTAAGAATTTTGAGTGACAGTTAAATCTTCTATAATCTTCTGGGAGGAGAATAGCGACGCTTGTGCAAATCCGGGAGGCACAAAGGAGGATCCTGATAAGACGGGAGCTCCTTCTTCCCCTTTTCACTGGAGGTCATCGGAAATGACGTCATGCGCAACAGCTCTACGGCCAGCACAAGAAAAGAGGGGAGAGAGGAGCTCCCCACTCAACGGGACTCTCTTCTGTGTGTCCCAGAGGTCGCTATTCTCCCTCTACGAGATTCTAGAAGATTAGCCCGTCACTCAAAATTCACGCAAAAGCAGCTGTGACAAGTATGTAGCGCCCCCTCCAGTCCACCCGTCTGTGGCGCCAGGCTCTGCGGGCAACATTGATCACCGCAGCAATAAACGCCGTGGAGCTCACGCCGCCCCGGTCAGTAATCGTTCACCCCCACGACCAGGCTGCAAGTCGTCTCTTCTCGGCGGGTGCTTCGGTCCCCTTCGTTCACGTTCTCGAAAGATCGTGAGAGCAGCTTTGCGGTTAGTTTTGGTGGCCGGATCGCTGGCGTGCTTCGACCGCTTCGGTGGCTGGAACGGCTAGGACATCCTATCGACATCAGCCTCGCCGCAGGTTTGCTCATCGCGAGACAAACTACGTCGCTATTGCACCGGATGTGACGTGCATTCTTCTGGCTGCTCTCCTAGCGCTTGCCGGAATGGCCGTCTATATAACGGAAAATACGGCCATTAGGCTCAAAATACAAACTTGCGATTGCCACTGATGGATATTGTGGATCATATTCGGCCTCTTTCTGAACACCACGGATATATTTACAATTTCGTTGAAGTATCCCTTTAATCAATCGTTCAGGCATCTGCAATTTTTCCCTTAGTACTGTTTACGACAGGAAAGCGGAATGGAACACAACTTCTTTCTGTGCATTCAACATACCGATTTTGATGCTTCTTAATTAGCACGGCTGAGAGACTCCCCAACTGTATGATAAACGTTTCTAAAAAGCTTAGACAACTTGTTAGAGGCAGAGAAGTATGATCAAGGTACCTACGTTACAAGTTACTCGCAATAAGTAACATGAGTACGTCATGCATTACTTTGTTGGAAATGTAACGAGTGCCCTACTACGTTACGGAAAAAATAGCGCGTTACCGGTAACGCCGTTACTTGTAACGTGTTACCGCCATTACTGCCTGGAGTCCGTACTGATTCTTTCCTTTTCGTTTCCTTCCCTTCTCAGGACCGGGACGAGTGTCAACTGTCCATGGTCACGCGCACCTTCCCTGGGGTTCCCATGCCCGTGTCCTGTCTGTTTCAACATAGAAATCCCAATAAACACAGATTTTTTTGGACCAAGACTTAAAATCGACACCGGAAATTGCCGAATCATGGCAAAAAATAAGCCCCCAGAACAAATCTTTCGATACAAAGACACTAAACCCGGAACTTGTAGGACGGTCCCGTCGCGTAGGTCGTACAGAAACTGCCTGCAGACGCGTTTGTACATGCGCATGAAGTCAACATGCTTCGAATACGCGTGAGACGTGTCCGCGTACAATTATGTCACCCTGCCTGCAGCGCGTCTATCGTATGAGCGCTGTGACTGATACATCATACAGTCTGCTGAGAGGCGTGCTTCTTACTGCCATTGGTCATACAAAAACTGTCTGGAGACATCCTGTGCATGAAGAAACATTTGTCGAAGATCCTCGAGGCGTGGTGGCGGCTAATTCCGCCCTCCTGTCTGCAACGAACGCTGTTTTATGCACTACGAGCGAAGGGCTTAATTATCTGCCACGCTCTAAGTTCCCGTCCGCACTTCACAAGCACGATCGCAGCCTACGCTACAATCCCAACGAGCCCACATCGTGACGGTACGTGACACCTATATGTGACTTGGCATCATGACGTCACGCCAAGGCTTTATACACGGGCGAAACCTTCGCAATTCGCCTTTCAGTACCGTTCATATTTCCCCGCCGAAAGAGGAGCCATTTAGAACGCCCTTAAAGGATTCCGAAGAAACTTTTTTTTTTTCGCTCACGTTTAGAAACATGTAGAGGCAACCGCACGAGAAATGTGACTGTTACTCACGGCGAACCGGACGGAGGAGACCCGACCGAAAGAGGCGTTCAGGGACCTGGTGGTCCGCTCGATCCCCTGGGCGAGATCGCAGTCCAGACGAGGCGGAGGACGTTGAGAAGCCACGTCCACCCAGCCGACTTGCGGCGGGGATCTCCGAGGCCCCCATGTCGACGCAGGCTCCGACGCGCCGAGGAACCTGGACGAAACCCCAAACGCCGTGAGGAAATTCATATATTTTTCTGGTTTCGCAATAGAGTCTGCACCCGCGGTCCGGATGGTCTTAATTCGGTTGAAGAAGTGTATTAACGCAAAGGATTTAAGTGCCGGGATGCCCGAGAAAAGTGTGACCGGAACGCGACGAAAACCCCCAAAAAAACATTTGTAGCACGTGCTCCAGAGGACAACCAGTACAAAGGAACACGTTATTGAGGCGAAAGAGTAAGAAATTCGAAAGAAGTAACAAAATTCTGCAAGAGCCCCGACGGAAATCAAACCCACGACCCCAAGGTTTTGAGCCCGAAACTCTACCAGTGCGCCAAAGGGGCAGAGGTGAAGTGTTGGCGACTAATGGCGCGTTACACCTGCGGATTCGGGGGCAAATCCGCGCACGCGGATCTGCGCAGGCGGAAGGTGGGTTTTTGAGCAGGGTGGGGAAATGCGCTTGTCACTGGCGGGAAATCTGGGTATATACGGGTCCCGGACTGATCCAGATTTTCTGCCAGCGACGACTGGATTTCTACACCCGGTTTCCAGATCCACTTTCGCCTACGGAGATTCGCCCGCAAATCCACAAGCCCTAGTGAAAAAAGTCAGTTGTATGAGAAATTTCTCGTGTCCAATAAACAGATATGAATCATTCAAGATATATAAGAACATATAACAACCATATAAGAACTACATAAGAACTATACAGGAACTACATGAGCTATATAAGAACCAGATAAGAAACTTATAGGAACTACATAAGCTATATAAGAACCAGATAAGGAACTTATAAAAAAACTTCACAGAAGTTTCTTATATGGTGCTTGTATGTTCTTATGTATCTTATATAGTTCTTATATGGTTCTTTTATGGCTCTTATATGTTCTTATACATCTGGTTTGATTCATATGTGTTTATTGGACACGAGAAATTTCTCATACAAATAAGAATTTTAAATAGCAAGTCTAAACGCGCATTGAGGGGCAGTGACCAACGCGAAAGCCGGCGTTTGGTGTTTAAACGCGTTCAACCACTGAGTGGATTCAGAGACAGCTAGCTTTGCGTCTGCCTACCCACTAATCGTTCCAACCAGAACTTGGTGGTCTCACCTCATTCTCTCCCTCAGATACTATTCGTACAATCAACCACAACAAAAAGAAAGAACTGCACAGATTGCCACAAGCTTCAAAGGTTACCACTGAAACGTATTCTGTGCATACCGACTTTATCCGTCGGATCAAGATAAATTATGCAATTTCTTGCTTTCTCTCGCTTTTACATTATCGGTGCGAATAATTGCCCGGATAATAATTATAACGTTAAAACCTTTCACTCAAATGCTAAATTGTTTTTGATTGAAAAAATATTTTCAAAATTTTGTTTTGTTCCTATGAATAGTTCGTATGTGGTGCATGGTCCTAGTAAGGTAAGGGCTATGCACCAAGGCGCTGCATAATAGTCCTTACCTGATGCCAAGTTCGTGCGTAAAAATTTATCGCACACAGCGCACCTTGACGAATGTGCCTTATTAGCTCTCAAGAAAGCTCGTTTCATTAATCAATATTTATTAACACACCCTTTTCACGAACTCTGTATCGTCATAATGAAGGATCTAGACAAAACGAATCCCACTGTGCAAGACTCGAGCGTTGCATAGTCCGCAAAATACGGCGCCGATTAAGAAATGTAACCACCTCGATCTTACGTATCCAGTTAGAATTCGCAGAATGCTGACACAGCGGATGTTACAAAGCGACATATAATATTTTCCGCTATGTTTAGCGGACGCTCGGTCACGCGACGTATACTCGCGTGACGCCAATTTCGTTGCCACGTGACGTCACGGCGTCACCTAAAGCCGTGACATCACTCAACGCGATAACGTAACAGTGGCGCCACGTGAAACTATGTCACGTGACTTTACGTCATGTCCACCGTTCCTATATCAATTCAGTTACGGAACTGCCCGTGAACGCTGCTTCCAGGTGCGGTACTCCCCATCTTCCCCCACGGCCGCCTATACCGTCGTTCCACGCGTCACCGTTTCGGGTACGGCTGCTACGGCAACTGCATTTTTTTCTATGGAATACAGATGTCTTGAAACGAGATTATAGATAATCTATTAAGGTATGTTGTTGGGATAGTTGGTTCATCTTAGTTAAACATATAAAATAGAGAAAAAAAGAAGACAGGGACACAAAGTAAACGGGACGAGCGCTAACTTTCAACTATTTTTACAGGGTAAAAATGGCTTAAAGTTAGGGCTTGTCTTGTTTACTTTGTATCCCTCTTTTTTGCGTTATTTTATGTTTAACTTAAATTCTAGATTGCGCTTCAAACAACGAGAGTCGGACTAGAGGGGGAAAGGGGCCTATAACCACCTCTGCGAGAGTTCCACAACTGAGCTAATTGATCTAGTACCGTTGTCAACGTCACGTTGGCACGTGACTGCCTAATGTGACGTGCGGCGTTTAAGTCACTTCACATGAACACGTAACAGTCGCTCAAACCACGTGATCTCCGTAAGCCCGTGTAAATATAATGTCGTGATACATTTTCGTGACGCTCTAGACTTTAAAACCAGGCCATACAATTTACCTGAGTTAAAGCTGCCGTGCAAGAATATTGGGCTGGAATGTTTCTGATTGTACACAAGTTTCCTGTCACTATAGCTGCAGCCTGGTAACAGGTTCAGAACAACAGTTTTTTTTTAATTTTTTTTTACAGGGTAAAAATGCCTCCAGGACGCACTCGTTGCATTCCGTATGGCTTCGGCTGCGCCTGCGACGAAGCGTTATCAAAGGCGGAAAGGTCGCACTGAGGCGAAATAACTACTCAATCGTCGCCCCGGCATTGATTATACTTTGGAAGGAGTGCCAATCGAACGTGTGATTGAAAAAAATTGGGTTGTGTGTGTGTTTATACAGCCTAGAACTTGGTCTGCCTCACAGGGGCGACGAGTCTCCCAGCTGTAGATGAGAAATTTAGCCAGTGCGGTACAGCCGCTAGCCTGGGGTCTTTAACGTGCACCACGCAGTAGTGATACACGACCGCACGCCGGTACGATGCTCCTCCAGATCGAAACGGGCAGGGGTGGGGCTCGAACCCAGGATCCCTGGGTTCTGCAGCGCGAGCTTTCGCTCCACGTGCTCCGAGCTGATGTGCGCTAGACCAAACGTGTGATTGCTTGAAAGGATCTCGCGTGAACGTTGAAAGCGCGCTATTGTTCAATGCTCACCTGCCATTTATTGTTAGCAGAGCAGTGAAAATGCTCAGTTAAATATCTCGCCTGACTTAATAATTCAGAGACACCGCTTCCTCAGTTCGATCGACGCTTCTATTCGCTTCAATGATTTGGAACTCGCTAACAGCTACGCAGTCATCGAGCATTGAATCTGTGCAAAAGCGATTGATACGTCTTGTGTGCGACGGACACTTCTAGCGTCGTTTTCATTGTAGTTATGATTTTCTTCCGAATAGTTTTAATTCGCCTTTTGTAGAATAAAAAAACTCAATCGTGATATTTTTTCGTTTGTTTGCACAGCGCTAATGGTGCGTTTGATTGGGACCTACTTTAGAGCTGTATCGGTTTCCATGTCCCTTCACGCGTTACTAAATATTTTACCGAATTTTACGTTCGTTCTATCTGTAAAGCCTCGCCAATGTCACGTGAACAGATCGCATTTAATGGGATTGCATCATCTCGCATAGACACATTAAGTGATCAGGCACTTTTCCGAAACGAGCTGATGTGTACAATAGCAAGTATGTCGTGTTTCGTACGAAGCAGAACAATCTTTTTTTGTGCGTGCTATTCGAATTTTTATATGATTTCTGTTTGGTGAGAATTGTTATTACATTTGCGCACCAAAGGGAAGACCCAGATATGGTTGTGCTTGGAGAAAAAAAAAAATTTTCTGTTTGATTTTTTAAGAGCAGCATCTTCATCAATGTTCTCTTCATCATACAAGCAGATGTCTTTGATGTACCCATGTCTGTATCTGGTTTTGTGTGTTCGTGCAAAAAATAATACTAATATTAATAATAATAATAATAATGATTATTTGTATTATATAGGGTGGTTCAAGTCAATAGGCTCGATCTAAAATGGACCGTAAAAATCGACACCTGCACGTAGCCATCTAAACTTTTCGCCAAAGGTGTAATCCACAGGTCGGTGTTTTCTTGTAAAATTACGAAGCGTAGTTCTCTTTCTGTAAAAAATAGGGCCAAGAAACTTGCCAGGGTCTACGGCGGGCGGCGACCCAGACAACCAAGTCCAGTAGCGGGGTGTGTTTGGCGTTCGTATTGATAGATGGCGACAGGAGCAGCGTCTGAAGGTGCAGCCGACCAGCGAAAGATAGCAGACGACACGCAGACGAAATCCGTTGGTAGCAAAAGCGCCGGCGTTATGCAGACGCGTTTTTTTTTTTTTACTTTAAGTTTTGCTTTTATTGTTTGCATTTATTTTTTAACCGAAGGTTAATTTCAAACGGATTATATTCATTTTAATAACAAAAGGTGGTCGCGAGCCGTCGCGATAAGGAGGTAGCGCCATCTATGAATACGAACGCCAAACACACCCCGCTACTGGACCCCTGTCGTCTGCGTTGCTACCCGCCGTAGACCCTGGCAAGTTCCTTGGACTTATTTTTTACAAAAAGAAAGCTACGCCTTGTAATTTTTCAAAAAAAAAAAAAAGCCGACCTGTGAATTACACCTTTGACGAAAACTTTACATGGCTACGTGCAGGCGTCGATTTTTACGGCCCATTTTAGAGCGAGCCTGGTGACTTGAACCACCCTATACTTAGGAGGCTGTAATACCTGTTAGGTATTGCGTACTATAAATATAACATTACGCATGTCGGAGACAAGATTGCAGTGATTCTTGGGGATGCGGGAACAACACAGTTCGATGAAGCCATTTTATAAATTACTCTAGTTTCGTACGAAAACTACACAACTCAATAAACTATTTGGTATTGTAAAA